TGACCCATGTGCAGGTGTAACTGTGTGCAGGTGACCCATGTGCAGGTGTAACTGTGTGCAGGTGTAACTGTGTGCAGGTGACCCATGTGCAGGTGACCCATGTGCAGGTGTAACTGTGTGCAGGTGTAACTGTGTGCACAGGGAAGCCCGAGGTTGCTGGCTGACAGCTGTGGCAGATGTGCCTCCCCTGACCCTGCTGCTCTGCAGGGCAGTTGCATCCACCCCACCCAGCAGTTGGAGCCTTGTCTGGAGAGAACAGGGCTGCCGGAGCCTCTTTGAGCTGTCCCACAGCATATCTGTGCTCTTGCTGATATTAATTTGCAGTTTCCAGACACCCTACTGCATCCTCTTAGCCTTTGTTTGCTTTCCCTTCCAGGGAGCACCCTGTGTTCTTCATGTTTGTACAGCTTGCCATCATTTCTATCTTCAAATCCTATCCCACCGTGGGAGACGTTGCACTGTACATGGCCTTCCTTCCAGTCTGGAGCCACCTTTACAGATGTAAGTTCTTGTGCCTGATTATTCTTTGTCTGTAATGGCAAAGGGCCTGTCAAATAATTAAACTAAATGGTCACCATAAACCAAACCAGGCCCAACTTTTGTGGCTCCTGTGACCTCTGTAGGGTGCCTAAAAGGAGGCTGGATTTTGGGGTTTTTTTTCCTCTGATGATACAGTCCCCGACATGTCTTTAGGACTAGAGTTGAAATTGGTCAGGGAGGGAATTTTCAGTTGTACCTTGCCTTCCCCTTCTCTCCAGTTYGTTCTGAAAATTCACTTATTTGTAAGAACCTTTTACAGTCCTGTACAAGGGATGTGGCTTATTTGAAGTACATCCATCCTCCAGATGCTTCATTCCCATTTAAGGCTGTGTAATTTGTACAGTGCTCCTGCCATTGGTGAGTCCCCCAAGCTTAAAATGCTGCATCTTGCAGTTGTGCTTCATTTTGCATTGGCTTGTTTGCTTAKAGTGAAAGTAACTGAATTGCTCCAAACAATTGTCCAGTTTTTCTTAAATGCTTCATAAAGTCACTCTTTAGCTCTTAAAATCACGAGACAGCTTCCTGTGGATTCTCAGGCTCAGTTCTATAGAGCCTGATTCCATAGGGACCTTTGGAAGTGCTGTATTTTTCCTGGCATTTCTTGCTTAAACCAGCTGCTTTGACCRATTCTGCCAGGTTGTGCAGGTCTTTCACTGCAGCCTCTCCAAGCCAGGCCAAGTGTGTTCATGTAGGAGAACATGAACACCTGTTGTAGGAGAWGTAATCAGGAGCCAGGAGACTTGGAGACCATTGGCTCTGTGGGTTTCAGACTCAGGAGAGTTGAGGCCAAAGCAGCTGTGATCAAACAGGGCAGGAAGCCCCAGGCTGGCACTGAGCACATCACAGCTGTAGCAGGTGATGAACTTCTCAGCAGTCCTTGCTCAGTGTAGTTCAGTTGTACATTCCAAACATGCAGTGAGAGGCACAGTCACCTGCCACATGTGCTCAGTGTAGTTCAGTTGTACTTTCCAAACATGCAGTGAGAGGCACAGTCACCTGCCACATGTTCCCACCGCACAGTGTGTGACAGACCTACTGAACAAGAGGTTTAAAGTAGGTGTGAAGAGGTCTGGATGTGACAATGCTCTTAAAACATCAGCTGTCCTCAGCTGCAGTGATGGGCATGGGCTGAGCTGCAGCCAAGCACAGCAGCACAAGTGTCAGGATGGGATTACATCACTGTTTCCAAAGGACAGGCATCAGCACTTCACAGAAAACAAAACTACTCCTGGCCTGGTAGTTCCCAGCTCTTTTAGACAAAGTTGAGCTTGGTTTTTGCCCACCTAACCCATACTCAGGCAGACTGATGGATTCTTGCACCTCCCAAGGTCCTGTGTCTGTCAGTGCTTTTGGCCTGTATGAGTTTCTTCCTATTATGGTGCTTTCATTTCCTTGCCGCTTCCCAAGAAAGTCTCTTTTTCCTGTGACACAGAGGTTCATTTTTTTCCCTTGTTGTTGTTAGCTGGACAAGACAAGGGATTAACGCGCTCTGCTCTCAAAATTGGGATGCTGCTTCAAAGGCCCTCTTCCAGACTGCTGGTTACTCTAGTGTAGATATCAAAAAGCTAGAGTCATCTAAGAAAGAATGTTTGGAAGCAGGACCTAGAAGGAAAGAGCTACAAACGGGGATTTCACACTGCAGCAAGGGCAGAAGTATTTATTTTGAAGGGAAATACAGTGCATTTCTTATGACTAGGAGTTACTAAAGCAACCTGTAGAAGGTTATTGGAGGGAAGTATGTTGGCAAGTGCCTCTCGACCCTGCACACACCCTAGRTACCATTGCTGGTGTGTGACCATGGCTGCTCAGTAATACATCATTTTAACAGCTGGTTTTCTTTTGCAGTCCTCCGGAACATCTTCATCCTGTCATGTGTGCTCATTTTCTGCTCCTTCCTGTTCCCCGTTCTGTGGCATCTATGGATTTATGCTGGAAGTGCCAACTCCAATTTTTATTATGCCATCACGTTGACTTTCAACATAGGGCAGGTCAGTAGAGCAAGGCAAATGGAGCTGCACTGGCTGCTGGATGGGGTGGCCTGKCAGCAGCAGCAAGTTCTGCAGGTTGGTGCTGGTTCTTTGCATCCTGCGTGGTCCTGCATAGCAGTTTCCTGGCTCTCCTTCTGGATTCTGCCTGCTCCTCAATTCCTGGCATACTAATGGGAATGAGTTCTTGTGGTCTTTGAGCTGTAGCTTAACAATCCAGCCTGGCTGASTGCAAGTTCTGTACTCTGTCACTGATGGCAGAGGAAAAGCATCTCAGTATGGCAGGACAAGCACAAGTGACTGGAAGAGGGGAGCTAAGAGCGGAAATGGAAAAACCATTGCTGTGAGGCCAGAAAACAGACAAATGACCCCTGCCCATGCACAGGGACATGGCACCAGTTGTTCTGAGCTGTGGGGCACRTGCAGGGTCCCAGTGGTGCCAGGGTTTGCCCTCCCTGCCTTTCCTGAGGCAGTTCTGGATACATGACTTCCTTGGCTTTAGGAAAAGCAGAGCTTAGCACCCTTGAAGGGTGGAATTCAAGGTGCTACAAACTTTTTTAAGTCCTTCCTCTTCTCTGTGCTACTTGTCATGTTCCTGAGCCCTGKAGCAGTTTCACATGTGGGTGAGCAGGACATTCATTTCGTGTTAAAATTGCCTTTCTTTTGAGTGTACCTCAGCCATTTATGGTTCTCCTRAAGCCAGGGGAGCACTTTGGCCAGGGACAGAAAATCACACACTCATACGTTTGATAAATGGGGCAAACACTTATTTGGTGAAACCAAAAGAGATTGCATGGGGTGAGAGTGAGAATAGAGATTCTGTGAAGAGGAGCTGAGAGGAAATTGGGAGTGGTTCATTACATGTCCTGCTAGGGAATGAAAGGAATAGTAAAACTTTATAATTAGAGATGGTGGGGGGTTGATATTCTAAGAGGATTTTAATTCCTAACTGGGGAAGTCATAGCAGATCCTGCAAGGTCTTGTGCTCTGTGTAAATGCAGACAGCAAAAATCTCTTCTTTGTTTTCCTTGTGTAAAAGGCCTGGCCTTCATCCCCACCCACTTCTGCTCTTTCTTTCCCCATTTAGACATCTGCAGAGAAGTTTGGTTAAAGGTAAAATCACCTCCACTGACAGAGGCTGTCAGCAGTTCAGCAAAGCAAGCAGATGATGGCTGTTTCCCTCTCCCTGGCTCTGTTCTCCTTCACACTGTCTCCCCTGACCTCARCACTCTGCAGCCCTGTTTCTCTTTCCTCCAGTCTCCACCTGGTCCTCCATCCCCTCCTGTCYTGCACTGAGCCTCTGCAGCAGCTGCTGTGTTTTTCTGTGCTGTATTGCACAGTAACCTRGGCAAGCTCTGACCATCCCTCCCTCTGTGCTCTTGGCACTGCCACATACTTCAGGTGACATAGTGCCAAAATGATGCTTTTTGAGTGGCATCTGCACACTAGGACACAAGGACAGTAACTGGCTTGTTCTGGTGCTGTAAAGGTTTTCCACTCTAGTTCTGTGCGCCTGTTTGCAAATGGAGGAGGGCAGCAGTCCCGGGGGARGGTCACACTGCAAGAGGTGACGTAACAAATGGCACTACTGAGCACCAGGACCTTGCCATAGCCCAGCCTGCCCCAGCAAAGGCAGCTTCYCAAGGCAGCAGCTTTAGAGGATTCACTGTCACCCATTCCTGTGACCTGAGGGCTCTCAGGCATGGGAGTAGTCCCACTGTGTGCCTCAGTACAACCACAGCAGGAGTGGCTTTGGGCAGTGGCTGGGAAGTGCCCAGCAGGAAAGGCTCTGGGGGTGCTGATCRACAGCAGCTGAACAAGTGCCAGCTGTGCCCAGGTGGGCAAGAGGCCAAGGGCACCTGGCCTGTACCAGCCATGGTGTGGCAGCAGGACCAGGGCAGTGACTGTCCCCTGTGTCCTCAGAGGTCTTTTTCATCTGAAATAACCCTGTAATTCTGTGACAGCACTTGAATAGAAGGAGTCCTATGGGTGCAGCTGAGATGGTCTGTGCAGCTGTGGCACAGCTGGAGCTGCCATTGTCATGCATTTTGGCCAGTTCATGGAGCTGCTGTCTGTGAGTCTCCCTTGGCTCAACGGGGTGAGGGGATGGACAAGATGTTCCCAGGGTCACAGTGGCTCCTCTGGCAGTGTGCTGRGAGCCCAGCAACTGCTTAACCCCGACAGGGTCTGTCAGGCACTTTATTCCTTGCTCTGAAGCACCACTGATATGTCTAAACATCTCACTCCACAGATCCTGCTCATCTCGGATTATTTCTATGCCTTCCTCCGGCGRGAATACTACCTCACTCATGGACTCCACTTGACAAGGCAGGACGGGACAGAGGCCATGCTGGTTTTGAAATAAGGATTGTGCCACCATTTCCTGGGACATGGACCACTCTGAGGAATGTGCAAAGCTTGGGATACATGGGATGGGTGGGGAAGGTTCCCTGAATGAAATCTGACTTTGGGAATGGTACCTACTGAAAGAAAGGGCTGAGGTTCTGGGAGTACCCCCCTGAGCTGTGGGCTCAGCACAGACTGTCCGAGTTGCAGTGCCTCCCCCCTCAGCTGTGCTTTTCACTTGGACCTCAGCCATCAGCTCTGGGCAGTCCAGGAATGAGAGTGTTTGAGCTAAACCCAGGGCTGAAGCTCAGACCATGAACTGTTTTCCACCACTGCTTCTCGGAGATGTTTGCTTCTCCTGGAATCTCCCCYTTCACTGCTTTGACTAGTAACTCCTGCTTGGCACAAGGCAATCTCTGGGTAGCTGGTGCCCCAGCCCTGGCTGCAGATTCCATTTCTTGGTGTTTCTGCTGTTGTGGAAGACCCCATGAGCTCAATCACAGTGGGAGCTGTGACAGAGTTGGGTGACCAAGGATGACTTGGAGGGTAGTGGGAGCTGTTGATACACGTAGTAACCTCAGCACTCAAACACGAGTAAGAAGCAGAACTGGAGTGGGAGCAGGAGCAGGGTGGGTGCCAGGTAACCACTCTATCCCATCGGAGCAACAGCACCTTCCATGACAGGAGCTGCACAGAGGCACTGCAGGTCTCAGAAGGAACACTTCTGAGGAAATGGTCTCCCACTGCTCCCAGTTTCTGTTGGGTGACAAAGCCTGGCAGTGCTGGGCTCACGCTTTGCTGCTGTGATGGCCTGGGGCAGCAGCCAGGTCTAGGAGGTGTCACAATCTCCTTCTAAGGCCAAATGCAGGAGGAGCCTCAGCCATGGCTGTTCTGGGGCAGTTCCACGGCTGCTTGTCCCCGCTGGATGTGCACTTGGCTGTGTCACAGGCGTTCCAGTCTGTGCTGGGCTCCTGGCTGTGAAMGGGGACTCCCCAAATCAGCTCCTCTGGTCTCCCCTGCTCATCTTGGAGCTGCTGCTGCCCCCTGAATGTGACACTCTGGGGTGAAGCCACCAGCTCTGCTGGCTGCGTGGTGGCGCTGAGATGCGGTGACCACAATGTGACAGCCACCTTCAGTGTCACCAGTGCTCCCAAGGGACATCCGAACGGGTTGGGAATGTGATACAGAAACCAAACAGCACGTGGTACCGAGMAGCTGAGAGATGGATGTGCCCAGGCCGGTGTGCGAACAGATCTTTCTTTCCGGACAACTCAAACTTTTGCCTTACTGCACTGCTGTCAGCGCTTTGGGGGTGGAGCCGCACCCAGCCCAGCCCCGGCCCGGGGCCGACCCGACAGGGAACGGCGAGGAACAAAATAAACTGCGAGTTTTAAACACCTCGTGTACTCTGTGCCTGGGAAGGGAGGTGTGGGAGACACTGACAGGCACCGGGAGCAGCTGGGAGGGCACTTGAGCGTAAACAYGGGTTGGGGGTAAAACAAGTGACTAAAAAGTAAACAGGTCTTTGGGGCAGGCTTTGAAAACCCCCTGGCTTTAGGGAAGGTAAGCTGGCAGCCGTATAAGAGAAATTGAGAGGGAGCTATGGGCAGTGCCCATTTTACTGCSCCTCTTCCCACAAAGCCAGACATCATCCACGATGAGGAGGGACAAAACGGGACTCGTGTCATCCTGAGGAAGGTAATGGGGTGAGCGCTGCGGCAGGGGAAGAGCAAGGACAGAGGCATGAGCAGGGACAGGGTTGGGGGAGGGACAGAAGCATGGTCAAGGGTAGGGAAAAGGAAGGGGCAGAGGCAGGGGTAAGGGCAGGGTCAGTGAAAGGATACAGGGACAGGACAGGGGCAGTATCAGGGTCAGGGGTACAATAGGATGGGGCCAGGAGCAGGGATGGGGCAGGAACAGAAACACTGGCAGGGGTAGGGGTGTGGGAAGGGCAGAGACAGGGACAGGCTGTTCTAAGACAGCTCAGGCAGGGACTGRGTGCCTGTCCTGGCTCCTGATCAAGTCCCAGGGGAAGTTTTCGGGGCCACCAGAACCTCCTGGACCCCCCTGAGCTGTGCCAGGGAGCAAATGGCAGCTGTGGCAGGTAGCAGGCCCCCCGAACTCCCACTGCTATCAGAGCCTGGTGGCACAATGAGCTGACTCCCACCAGGACTGACAGGGCTGCAGTGGCCCCTGCCATGGAGGTGAGAAACAATCCAGAAATGCCTGCAGTGGGCCGAGGGTCTGGGCCAGGTGTCGAGGCCACTGTGCAAGGCACTCAGGAAGCCCTGGRCTGGCACAGATGAGCATTGTCACACCTGGAGCCCCAGGCTCTCAGCCAGGCTGAGAGGTTTGGGAATGGCACAGAGAGAAGGGCCTGCACCAGAAACTGCACCTGCTCCTGGTCTGCAGGGCCTTTCCAGCAGCTCCTGAGGCTGGCAGGTCCCTCAGCCAGGGATTCCCTCCCTCAGCTGCCAGTCCCAGGCTGGCTCTCTGGGAGTGAGTGCCATGTGCCATTTGAGTGGAAGAGGGAAGTTACTGTGCAGGTGTAATTGCATTCAGAGRAGTGTGAGCACACGTGAGAGGAACAGCCCTGCGCACACCCAGGGAAGGGCAGGAGGAGTGCCGGAGCTGCTCCAGGAGCTGGAGCTGAGATTCCCCCGGGATTCCCTGCAGCCCAGGGAGGCACTGGGGTGCAGAGATGCACCTGCAGCCCTTAGAGGAGCCCACGCCAGAGCAGGGCAGGGACTCCAACTCCTCTCCCTGAGCAGCAGCAGAAACAATGGATGATGAACTGATCACAGTCTCTATTCCACATCTCCCTGCACTGCCAGAGGGGAGGAGGCAGAGTTGGATAGGAGGGAGGTGTGGGGAAGGTGTTTTTAAGGTCTTACTTTACATCTCATTATCCTGCTCTGATTTTGTTCTTGATAAATTCAGTTAATATCTCTAATTCGAGTCTGTTTTGCCCTGACAGTGTGTGATGAGGAATCTCACCCGATCCTTATCTTAACTCATGAAACTTCTGCTGTATTTTCTCTGCCCTGCTGAGCTGTGGAGGGCWGTGAGAGAGGCTTTGGTGGGTGCCTGGTGTCCAGCCAGGATCAGCCCACCACACAAGTGTTGGGACTTGCTACAACCATTGCAACAGCTGTGTTGCAAAGAGCAACTCGGCACGACCTAGCCCGTCGATGCCAAAACAAAGGCACCTCGTGGCCTCGGGGCTCCCAGGCGACAACCGGGGCACGAAGAGGTGACAGCCCCCGGCCACGAGCACTTGGCTGGAAGGAGACGCCTGCCCGCGCATCSCAGCGCCATGGAGGACCTGGCTGTGCAGGGGGGACACGCCCTGGGCCGCCCCGGGCCGGGAGAGGTTGTTGGCACCCACACCACCCTGTCACGCACCGATGGCCAGGGAGGGGCCGGCGCCGCTGAACATTAACCCCGGGGCGGGGTCCAGGGCTCCCTGGAGGCGCAGTCCCATCCCAGCACCCCACAAACACCGGCAATGAGGGGGCTCCGAGCCCGCTACCAGCTCCTGGTAGGTCCATCGTGGCAGGGTCCCACGTGGCAACGGGGAAGGAGCTCAGGGGCAGCGCTGGGAGGCACCAGCCAGGCTGGGCACGGGGCTAGACAGACAGAGGAGGGCTGCCCTGGGGACAGTGAGGGACTGGGGAGTGCGGAGGGTGATGGGCACATCTGGGACCTGCCCCCGTAGCCCGCTGCCTCGCGAGGGTCCAGGCACCCCGAGGGCACATCTGCAGCACTTGCTCGTCCCTCTTGTCCCCTCAGGGTGGTGGGCAGGGAACTGCTGCCCACTCGCCTTTGGGCATGGGCTGCACCCACAGTCATCCTGCTAACACTGGTTATCAGCGCCCACCAGGACCAGGGCGCATCCCTGACCCCATCCACGCTGCGGGGCCAAAGAGGGAAAAGGCCAGGCTTCACCCCTTCTGCTGGGGCTGCGGTTGTAGAAGCCTCCCCTGCCTGCTCCTGCTCCTGCTCCTCCTCCTCCTCCTCCTCCTCCTCCTCCTCCTCTTCCTCCCTGTCCTTCCCCTGGCGTGGCTGTCAGGCCTGAAGTTCCCCGTGCAGGGCGGCCCGGCCTGGCAGGGTGCCAGGACACGGCACGACACGGCACCGGGGCCGTGGGGACCAGTGGGCAGCCGGGACCTGAGCTGGAGGCTCGGCCTGGYGCCCATCCCCGAGGATTTGGGCCCCTTCTCCCAGCCCCCGGACAGAGGATGGGAGACACTCCCCTCTGGGCGGTTCGGGAGCTGCTGCCCCCTCAGGCCCGCAGCGATGCTCACCTGCAGCCGCCCCCAGCCCGACCAGGACGAGGAGCTGCCCGTGGGGTGCGAGGATACTGCTGAAGAGGGGCAGCGGGGCTGGGAGGGAGCCCCAGAAACATCCGAGGAGGAGCCCTGCAGGCTGGTGCTSAGCACACCCAGCTGCATCCTGCGGGACAGGGAGATCCAGGAGGTGAGGCGCTCTCCGGCCAGGACAGGGGTCACCCTTGTGTTCTTGTGCCCCGCACCTACAGCCRTGACCACTATCAGGCACTGGCCCAGTGTGAGGCCAGATGGGGACATTCCCCTGTCCCTGGGGACAGCCATCTCAGCAGCATCTCTTGCAGGGAAGGATGCTTGGGGAGCTATCTGAGAAGGGTTCTCAGGGAGAGGACGCTTGAGGGAAGTATCCTAGGAGACTGCTGGAGGGACTGSGGCTTGAGGAGACACCTTGGGAGGGTGTTTAGGGGGAGGGTGCTTGGGGACACCTGTCGGGGAACCGGTCAGTGAGGTCTCTCAGGGCTGCACTGGGGCAGGGGAGGATGCTCGGCCCTTTGGCCGCCTCTGAGGCCGCTCTGCCCCAGCTGGGTGCCCAGCTGCCCCCGCGGCTGGCGCAGCAGCCCTGGCACCTTCTCTACTCCACCGGGCGCGACGGCTTCAGCCTGCGGACCCTGTACCGGAGYGGGGCCCGGCCGGACGCTCCCGCCCTGCTGCTCATCAGGGACACAGAGGCGCAGGTACGGCCTTGCCCTCCCCCGCCCGGTGTCCCGTGTCAGATTCCCTGGGCACGTCCTCGCTCCGCCGGCAGGACGGGGACTCGTCCCTGTCGGGGAGCCGCCCTGAGCACCGCGCCATCACAGTCCACTTGTGCTCCCCAGGCTTTCGGTGCCTTCTCTGCCAGCGCCATTCGCAGCAGCAGCGGTTTCTACGGCACCGGGGAGAGCTTCCTCTTCTCCTTCTGCCCCGAGCTGAAGGTGGGGCTGGGTCACCCCGGCGGGGAGGCTGGCCGTGTCCCGAGGGGCCRGCCACGCCTGGGGGGAGGGGGCTGGGGTGATGTGGCTGCTCTTGGCCGGGCGTGGGAACAGGGGACTGTGTTGGCAACAGCCCCCCAGGTCTATCCGGGGCTGGGGGAGAAGGCAAATCCCGGGCGGTGTGCGGGGAGGGAGGCTCAGGGAAGGGGACCCTGCCCGGCTGGGCGTCACCGGGGTCACTCCACATGGCGGGGCAGTCGCAGCCCGGCACTGGGCTGGCAGGGTGTGGAGGCAGCTCAGCCACGTCTCTGGTACCGCTGGAAGTTCTGTGTGTGTGTGTGTGCGTGTGTGTGTGTGTGTGTGTGTGTGTGTGTGTGTGATGGGCATTTGTGGTGGCTGCTGTCCCCCGGCAGGGCCCACAGGGCTGTGGCAGGTATGGATCAGGACCACAGATTCAGCCAGGCCTTCTGGAGATGTGGGACATGAAGGTGCTGAGCAGAACCAACTTGGCTGAGCAGCTCCCAGCTGGTCCTGACAGGACAGGGACAGGAATCGGGATGGGGACACTGCCCCCAGCCCACAGTCCCAACCCAGTGCTGTCCCCAAACAGGTGTTCAGGTGGACAGGCAGGAACGACTTCTTCGTGAAGGGGGATGTGAACCTGCTGATGGTCGGTGGGGGCAGGTAGGAAYYGTGCCAGCAACTTCAGCTGCTCACRGCRCCAGCAGCCCTAATGGCCATCAGAGCCGTGATGGGAGCCCAGGACCTGTCACGTGGAACTGGGGCCCGGCACGGGGAGGTTTGAACCCCAAGACACTGGACTCTAGTGCCAGTTGTCCTGCAGCACGCACCGTCTCATTCCCTAACCCTGTTACTTGTTGGCAGGGCTGCCCTGTCCCAGTTCACTCCCAGTCCACTCCCTGTCTGCTCCCAGTCCGCTCCCAGTCCAGACTCAGGCCAGCTGCTTGTGCTGTCGCATCCCCATTTCAGGGGACAGAGAGTGAGGACGGGAAGTGGCTGGTGCCCCAGGGGATGGCATGAGCGGTCTCCAGCCATGAAGGAGGCAGGTCCCAGCTGACCGTGTACTTGGCACATTCCCAGTGGTAGGTTTGGGCTGTGGCTGGACGAAGACCTGCACCACGGAGGCAGCCAACCCTGCGAGACCTTTGACAACGAGACCCTCTCGCACCAGGAGGAGTTCTGCATCCAGGACCTGGAACTGTGGGGCCCGGCCTGACACTGGCAAACACATCCAGGRGAAGAGGTGGTAGTGAGGGGATGCTCTGGATGGATGTTTTGGTCACAGCTGATCCCTGACAGCCCCTGCAGAGCCTGTGGGAYAGTACCAGCCTCACCCCTGCCTCTTCTACCTGTCCCCACCAACGTTCCCATTTCATGGGGCACAAGAGTCGGTGGGGGCAGCGTGATGGGACAAACAGCAGTGGGATCTCTCTCAGGCTGTGCGGCGCTGCCAGCATGAGGTTGGCAGACCAGAGTATCTGCATGGGCCCTAAAAGGGCATAGCACAACTAACCCAAAACCTAACTCTAACCCTAMYCCCAATCCTAAACCACCCCAACCCCAGCCCACCTGGCCGGGATGAGGCAGAGCTGCCCCGGGAGGAGGGCAGGCAGCAGAGCTGGGCACAGCAGGGCCCCTCATGGAGGAGAAAGCTTCAAGAGCAGAGTGACCCTGGCAGGACTAAGCCAGCCCAGGCAGCCTCTGCCCCCTCTGGCAGCACAGTCATCTCTCAATAAATGGTCTCATCCTTGCCCTGGGAGGGTTGAATGCCTCTGTGAGGGTGTGCAGGGCCTGTGGTGGGGAGCAGGCTGGGAGCTGTGACAGTGTCCAGGCCCAGCCTGGGTTGTGTGGCCACAGCAAGTGTGGGGGATCAGCCTGGGACACAGCTTCAGGCTCCATCCCCACTCTGGCAGAGCCCACCCTCTCTGTCACTCTGTGAGGACCAGGACTCCCYGCTCAGGAGGGGATGACAAGCAGGACCAAGGTTGTCTCCCTCCTTTTCTGAGTCTGCTCAGATGAAGAACAGACCACTCTCCTGTTCCCTACATCCTTCCAAGGCAGTGTACCACTGATGAGGCCCAACCTCTTCAYTCCCTCATTCCATGACCACGGGACTTGGCTTTGTTGGCTTGCTGTTTTCAGCTCCTCTGACCCAGCACCCTGGGGTGCACAGACCCCTCCTTCCCTGTACCCACACACAGCCCTGGACACTCTAGTGGCATGTGCCTGGAACCCACTGCAGCCCTTCAGGGCACCAGCTCAGGGCCCCTGTGCCCTGATGCCACCCAATGCCCCGCTCTGAAAATGGCGGCACAGCACCATCCCCCTGGAGCCCTCACCCTCATATCTGTCAGGACCTTTTCCTATTCCCAGCACTGCYTCACCCTTTGTTGACACACAGCCCAGTGCAGCTGGGGTGGGATCACAGGCTGGGTGAGGTTGGAGGCACCTCTGGAGATCACCTTGGCCAGCCCCCTGCTCCATCAGGGCCATCCAGAGCCCAGCATGTGTCCCGGTGGCTTTGGAGTCTCTCCAGCGATGGAAACTCCACCGCCTCCCTGGGCACCTGCACCAGTGCTCAGCCACCCTCACGGTGCACAAGTGTCTCCTGAGCTCAGAGGGCCCCTCCGGTGTGTCAATTTGTGCTCTTGGGGCCTGGGATTGTCCCTGGGCACTGCTGAGCAGAGCGTGGCCCTGTCCCCTCTGCACCCTCCCCCTGAGGTATTTATCCACAGGGATGAGATGTCCTGAGCCTGCTCTCCTCCAGGCTGGGCAGTGCCAGCTCTCTCAGCCTCCCCTCATGGCAGAGATGCTCCAGTCCCTCCATCACCTTCATGGCCCTGTGCTGGACTCTCTCCAGTCTGTCCCTGTCTYCTGGATGGRCAGCCCAGCTCTGGGCCCAGCACTCCAGGCCTGGCCTCACTGGTGTGGAGCAGAGGGGAWGGGTTCTGTGCCTGCTGGCAACACTCACCCTAAGGCAGTCCAGGACACCACTGGACGCTAGGCTGAAAGAGCAGTCATTGCACATTTGTTGCATTTGTTGGCTCATGGTGAACTCCTGGATCCTTTCCTCCATGCTGCTTTGTGGGTGGGTGGCCTCAGCACATTTTAGTGAAGGAAATGACCCTTCCTGAGTGCAGGAATTTGCACCTCCCCTTGGGGATCTTGGGAAGGCTCCTGTCAGACCCTTCCTGCAGCCTAGTAAGATCCCTCTGAATGCAGCACCTGCCTCTGGAGTCCCAGCCACTCCTCCCAGTCCATCCACAGCTGTGCTGAGGGTGGACCCAGTGCTGGACCTCTGGCACCGGACCCAGTACTGCCCCTGGGATGCACCGCTGTTCCGGATCTCCAACAAGACTTGTGCCACTGACAGTCACACTGAGTTCAGCCCTCCAGCCAGGCTGCAGTGCAGCCCTGCCTGCTCACCCAAACCACCTGCAGCAGCTTGCTGAGGCTGGCACCACCACTGCTCTCCCCTCAGGCCCAGTGAGCACCAAAGGTTGGTCAGGCATGACTTCACCTTCCCTTTACCCAACATCTGGAGCATCATCTAAAGCCTCGCTGGGCCCTGGAGGTGGTCACTCTCTGCGGCATGGGCAGGGCYAGGTGGCTGCACTGTGCACGAGGAGAGGTGGGATCCTCCTGGCACAATGTCCTGGAGCCCTGGCCCCACTGCCCGTGGGTGGGAACTGTTCGGAACAGTGCAGTAAGAGCATTTTTAATGAAGTCCACACACTGCAATCCTTTAAAAGAATAGTAAAATCCTCATTTATACATTTATTCTTCAGAGAGGCTCAGATGAACATGTTGAGAAAAGAAATGCTCTCAGAACTTAAGTATAAACTTTTGATTTAACGTAAGCAAAAGATCTTTTCCAAGTATAAAGTGCACAGTTAGTAAAAAATTCAAAACAAACCAAATCAACAATAGCAGAATTATATCAGAATTATACTTGATCTTATGTAGACAAGGGAGATATAAATGCCTTAACTCTAAGACACTGTTTCTTAAAGAATAGTAAGTTCTTTAAAAGCTTTCAAAGAGGTCACAAGCCCTTCTAACAGTAACTCAGTAACYTGGTTCACCTGCAGGTCAGAAGTACTGTTAGAAACAGCAGAGGTTACACCTTCAAACACATGAGCACAGACACACAAGAAAGCAGCAGATRCACATGGATACTCATTCTCCCTCCCTCTAACAGCACCAGTTCCCAGGATAAAAAGGGCAAAGGGGATGTGGCAGGAGTTCTGGAGTTCCCTCACAGCACCTTCCCACCGAGTTATTTGTCAGGACCTACCCAGGCCACCCACACCTCACTGCCTGAGCCAGGTGCTCAGTGCCTCTCTCCCCATTCCAGATATAAAGGCCACAGATCACCACAGTTCCTGACCTTTTACTTGGTGKTTTTAGTTTTGTGGACAGATTTTTTTCAAGCTTTTAGGTTTCATTTAATGAAAGCAGCCTTCCTCTTAGACCTGAGTAAAAGATGGGAGGAAAATGGTCTTCCTCGGTCACTTGTTCAACAGGACAGACATTCAGGACACTCACACCAGTACTGCCAGTCCAGGAAAACTGTCAGAACCCTCACAGATCAACAAGAGAGAAAAAAMCGACACAGGGACAGCAATGAGATCCAAGAGAAGAGGGCAAGGATACAAGAAAGGAAGGATTTCTGATAAGCCTGTCTGTCCAGGACAGTGTAAAGCAGAGCCAAGGTGCACTTGGTGCAGGATGGGCAGAGCCAGGGCACCATCCTGCTGGCATTGCCCCCTCTGCACACCTGTGCCCTGGCAAACATCTGGGCAGCTCAGGCTTCCTGCAACCACTCACACCATGGGCCTTTTGAGCAGTCTTTGCAGGTCAGTCAGTAAAAAATATAACATTCAATGTATCAAAAATACACAATAAAACAAAAAAAGACTGCATGGCACTGCAATGCATTGTTACTTCAATAAAAATTGTGGTCACTTGTAGCAGGTGGTCGGCATCAGCTTTTTTAAATATGAGAAAAATAATCTTTGATTATTAAAATATTCCCCTCTCCCTTCCTTTTTTTTTTCTCCCATGAAATTCACTTTGCTAATTTTTAAGACACCATCCTTAAACCCACTGTATCTTCAGAAGCATACTTAACCCTCTCTTCCTCAGGCACTAAGAAAACCCCAACCACCCCAAAAATCCCATCAAAYCTGAGCCGGGATTTTTTCTGCTAGCTCATGCAATAGCAGAGCTAAGGAAGGAATCAGGACCAGACGGAATAGTAAAATCTTGTAATAATAATGAATTGCAGTTTTTAAAGTTACTTTTGCTACACAGTGCCTATACATTCAAAAACAAATAAGAACTGAGTTTACTCTGTTGTAATAAGTTTTTTTTTAGAAGTCCCTTTCGACTGGCACTTAAACCATCTATATTAAAACCTTCTGTATTGTAAAATGCATTTCTGCATTGTTCTGTGAATTATTCCAGTCCGTAGAACCAGCTTTTAGAAGATAGGATGCTCAGGTTTACTCATCTTCTGAGGAAGCAGACTCAATAGTGGCAAAAAGACATCTGTTACTCATCAAAAGAAAGCATTTGTCTGCAGTTGGGTTCTGAGGCTCTCCTGCGTTCGTCATCTGCCATATTATTCCACGATTTCTTCATTGGAGTTAAATGAGGGGCAACAACATCACCATCCTAGCATTAAATTCAGGAAACATTAATGATGGTACATTCACTTTTGCTTTCCATTCCAAAGCAGAGGAAAAACAGCTCAGTCTCAGGCTTAATAGAAAAAAAAATCAATCCAAGGACCCAGAAGCTTTGTAAATCAATAAACARATGACTGTACATCCCAGGGGTGGAAACTGTTGCATTCAGTGGTGGGGAGACAAAGATGTCCTGCCCATCTGAGAAGCCACCACCATTGGCAGCCCAGCTCTCCCTAATCATTACCAGAAAATCCAGAAAGTCAACAGGCTCTATTCTGGCCACTGGTCTATTAACCAAAACATMAGAGTTTGACTTCACCACAGGACATCATTAACACTGCTGCAATCAACCCACCCTTAGTGCTGGSATGTGTCTCACACTGTAAACCAAGCAAGGTTGGTGCAGCAGCTGCTGTGAGGCACTGGGGTTCATCCCAGCCAGATACAGTTGTTAATCTGTGCTCAGGCACTGCCAACACAGACTATCAGCTGCCCAAGCTCAGAAATCAGCTGGTGAGAGGCACWTTGCTGTGCTCTGCAGCACACCAGGGCCTGCAGGGTGGGTGTGCCTGAACCAGAACAATGCGCTTACAGGACACAACCCCACTTCACAACCAGGGAGAGCTGCTGCTTGATCCATKTGCAAAAAGCTCTTCTGAAATCAACTGCTCTAAAGGACAGATGCCTGAAGAATGACCTAAGAACGGCTCTTACACAGTTTTCCATGCCTGTATGCTATCCTAAGAATATTMATCTCCTGGATGGTCTCCTGTGTTTGAGGATACTGCTCTTTCCCCAGCCTGTTCTAGTGAGAGGTCTCCCTGCCCACGGCAGGGATTTGGAACAAGGTGATCTTCAAGGTCGCCTTCCAACCCAAACCATTCCATGATTCTGTGATCCCATGGCACTTGCAGGAGTCTCCAGCAYTACTTCAGCGAAACTAATGTAGCTCCAGATGGAAACCATGATAAAAAAAGAGGTTAGGTCAGTGAGGAGTGAATGCCTCTGTCACAAAGGCAAGGCCTGAATGCCAAATGTTTCAATGAAAAAGCAAGCTGGTGGRCAAAGATGAAGAGTACTAAACAAGAAATATAATAAGTGAATTTGTTACCTGTGGTTTGGTGAAATCATTCTCCATGCACCATTGAACAAAGTACTGTTTTGCACATGAAATAATATATGGATCCTGACTTTTGTAATAAACCCGGACAACCTGCTCCATAAATGTTATGGGTAAAAACTTTGAAACCTTTGGAATAAAACAGAAAAAAGCTTTAGTATTTCTCAGAATACAAAAGGAAAGCAGCAAGAAGCCCCACTACAATCCGTGAGTTTTATCCAAAGCAACTGTGATATTCCAGCTCCCAATGAATTCCAGTTAAATACTCCTCATATTTAAAGGCTGTCAGGATTCCAAACTGTCATAGTACAACACACATGGAAGACCTGCAAGGCCATGGATTGCACCACCTCTCCACAACTCCTGCAAGAACAACCACATGTTGCAGGATTGTGATCACTTCCATCACAGGTGGTGAAAATGTTTTTCAGAAGGAAAACAAAAACCTACCTGTTCTTTACTGATATTGACTGCCTTGGAAGGATCAGCCTTGCAATAAAAGTGAACCTGGTCAATTGGATTCTGATCTTTCATTCCATAATCCATGTTGATAACCTTGTATGTAAAACAAAGAAAATGGCATTTGTTAATGTTTGTCTTTAGTTTTCCCACAATAAATAAAAAGGCTGCACACGCTACTCCTGAAAATTACAGTAATCAAATGGAACAGTAATTAACAAAWTATTACTTAATAAAACAATCTGGTATTTGTATTTTGCATCTTTTCTTACAYCCCTCTTGCTCTGATGCTTCCAGGTGGATTTCACATTTATAGTGACCAACTCCCAGTTGTGCCCTGAAACATTCCAGTTTTCAGCACTGGAAGTGTACTGATCCCTTGCCAGCCCAAACTACACAACCCACAGAGGTTGCTCTATAAGCAGAGCTTAAAATTATAAACATGAGGTTCAGACAACATTATTTACATCTGCCTGGTCAGCAACATTTCTGTGGGCAGCAGGGACCCACTTCCCTAAGATTTCAGTTTGTGGGACAGGAAAAGCCCACAGGCAAATTCTTTWAAGCTCAGTAAACTGCTACAGTCTTGCCCAGTGAAGTGAACCTCCGTGCAAAGGTGCTTTAGGAGCAACTTGTGATGCGCTCTGTGGAAAGCCATTCACTCTTCCCTGAATGAACTGAGAACTGTGTGATACCTGCAGACTGCCCCAGCTCTCTCCTCTGTCTCAGGCCCCTCCTTCCCAACAGTGCTGGCTACAGACTGAGCTGCAGCAGCAGCTGCTTTGTGCTGCAGACAAACCCCAGCAGTGCCTGCTGGGCATTGAAGTGTGCAATACCAGAAGCCTGGAGGTCACTGTGCCTATTTTCCTCCCACCAGACCCACAGGTTTCCTGACCTTCCCAGTGGTCCCCAGCCTGCTGCCATTGACACTCATGGCCCAAACCCCCAAGGATTTCCCCACTGCTCCTTGTCAGAGTGAGGAACAGTGACAGCAGAGCCCACTTGACACSAGGAGCAGTGTMCAGATGACAGCCCARTAAGGCTGCCCACTGCCTGCCCCAYGCCCTCCCACCACAGCAAACCTCCCACRGGACACTCRTTCCCTCAGCCAGCCAGGCTGAACCAGGACTGCAGCTACAGACACCCGTGGTTTGTTCTTTCACCAGGGTACACAAGGCCCCCTGTGATCGAGAAGTTTTTACTTGAACCCGCTCTAGAGRTGTTTACATCGACTATGAAATTCTCAGCCTTTAGCTCCACATCTGGAGGGTCCTTCTCAGGCTTGGAATTAGCAATGCTTTCTGCCAGGCCATTACTCTGAAAGAAACCAAACCAAAAGATTAACACAGTAACTCAGATTACTTTTTATGCACTCTCATGTCTAGGTCAAGGCAACACAACAGGTGACACATGTCACTAAACTAAAGCTTTCAATTCTTCACAGCTGGACAAGACTCCTGGGGCAGTCTGGTTATTTGAATTACTGTACACCTTAGCCATTAGCAAAATCCAGTTTTTAGAAACAAATCAAGCTTATGTAGTTGAGAAAATCCAAAATCTGCCGGTCTGTGGAGAAGGAGTTTTACACCTGATGATGGGGCGGGGGGAGAGCAGGAGTGAGCCATCCTGAATGCTGAAGCATAAAAGCAGAAAATAAGTATCTTCAGCCAACTGTTTCACCAATACAAATGTTTTGCAGTTAAGTTCCCCAAAGCTGAATACTAGACATTTTCACTGAATTTTTAATGAAGGGTTGCGGGATCTTACCCTCTAATAAAACCTTTATATCTATACAGTGAAACATAAAAACCAGCAAGAGATAGAAAACCACAAAAAAAAAACCACAAAAACCCCAGAAGCGGCAAGCTCCTGTGCAAACTTCGGAGAAGATGATGCACTCTACAAGAAAGTACTGCACTAAAGTTGTCACTCACTGAAATGTGTGAGTCCCCATTCAAAGGTTGTGGCCTGTATTCAGGGCTGTTGTGYTTTTAGGGAAGATTTGAAGTAACAAGACCTCCTGGGAATGACTGATTGCGACTCAAAGGAGTGAAGCACAGAGCAGTCAGGAGATTGTCCAGAAGGGAAGGAATTCAGCTAGGAGCAGCTCGGGTTGGAGGTTTTTGCTGCTGATTTGTTCATTGCAAAGATGCAGAGACTGACAAGCGCAGAAAATCACACACGTTTCCAGATGAGGCATGTGTGTGGCGTGTAGTGACTCAGGAAGCCATGGACAAGTTTATTTAGACTAAGAGSAAGCTTAGAGGAAAAACTGCCAAGAGTGAACTCACTGGAGGCAGCCTGTTTGTAATTATGTCTACTCTGTATCAGAATGTATATATGTTAACTTCCTTTCTTTGCTTGCACCATTTTTGAAGTCACCTCTCCAGTTTGCATTAACTGGAAACTCAACCTGAATTCAAGAACTCTGAAGCTGTTTGGGATGCTCCCCTGGCTCTGGCCAGCTTGAGGCTCACTGCATGGGGCTTGGAGTAACCTRRTGCAGTGGAAAGTGTCCCTGTCCACAGCAAGAGGCTGGACTAGATGGACTTTAAAGGTCCATTTCAGCCCAAACCATTCTGTGATTCTCAACATTACATTGTGGTGTGTGAAGGAACAGAGCAGACACAGCTCCATCTTGAGCAGCCACTGCCACCCTCGAGTGCTCAGAAGGAGGGTGACACACTCCTGCCACAGGCTGAAGGAGGAAACATCCTCCCTCAACCCCTCAGCTGGGCACCCAGAGCTGCAAAGCACTGGCTGGATATAATCACTGCATCAACAGTGAGCCTGTCTACCTTCAAAACAACACTATGGATACCCCAAGATTCAATGCCTCTGGCTGGGCTTTCAAAATGAGTTTTTYCTATTATTAACCAAGCTTCTAAAAGGAACTGTTTAAAGGTGGAACTCATACCATCTGCTCTCAAGCCTTATTATGTCTCCTTATTTGTTGGGCCACCTATCCAACCCTCCTCCTCAGAAGGGCAGAAACTTGACAATGCGGGTACAAACGTTTTATATTTGCTTTCACCTCTTTCTTCCTGCTTTTCTCTACGGAATCTCTTAACAATACTTTTTCTTAGACAAAGAACACAAGCAAATCTTTTCTTCAAGCAGAAAGATGAATAGCTACATCTAGCAGTCCTTTTCTAACCTAATTCTTTAAAAAAAACTGAATTATTTTTATGGAGGCTTTCTAGATACAGACATCTGCTTCYAGAAATTTGGCACAGAAAGTTTTCACCATCATGGTTGAAGTTTGGGGATAATTAACTGATGATCTGACAACATAATTGTTTTTGTGTTGTATTATATTACAAATATAGCACATTAAAAGAGTTGAGCCAGCTGGASTGAGCTCTAATATACCATTATTTTGAAATAAAACAACAGGAATTAAACTGCTCTCTGAAGGGTGCTTTGAAAAGCACTCACGAAAAAGACTGAGTAAGTACATGCATGCTCATGCATAGTGTAGAATTTAACAACAACAAATTCAGCMGCTATTAAGCAGTTTGTTGTTTATTCTCAAAGCAAAGCAAAGCATACAAATTATGATTCAAAGCAAATGTGTTCCTTATGATTTTGAAATTTTMATGAACATCAGATGATGTAATAACCTTCTCAACCAGTGAACTCTAATGATCTTCTATAAAATTTTGTATTTTTCAGTAAAGTTTTTCCTGAAAACATTTCTGCAATAATTCAGCTTCTGAATTTCTACCTGTAGCCGTCCTTCTGACTGTTTGTAGACAAAACTTTCCCCCATTTCTTAACATGTTTCATGKCTCAGTTACTTAAGAGGAAAACTTTCGACTCTATTTTTGGAATAGCAAAAAAGCACCCCTCAAACCAAACAAAACCCACATGGAGACAGAGATAAATGGATGGTYAACAACCTCAAGAACATTTTTATGGGGACAGAACTCAGAAACCTCCACCGAAGTACATTACCTTTACAACTGCCTTCTTTGATTCAGGTCGAGTCTCTCCTAAAAACTTGTATAATTCACGTCGTTCTATTTTACACAAAATTTCTCGTGCCTCCTCCAGTTCTGGATGACTTGAGTGCAGAATTTCCAGGTAGATACAGTCTGCCAAAGTTGCATTGATTTTCGTTAGGTATATCACAATCCAGTGCCACAGTAAAATGCACACACAGAAACAAAGATTAAAGCAACAAGAAAACCAGCTGGTTCAGGAAAKACACTTTCAGAGAATGACTGAACTAAATCTGACAATGAGAAGTCACAATATTATCTTAATTATAATTAGATTTACAGTGTTTGTTGGCAGAAAAACTATCTCAATTCTCACGCTGGCAACATACTTTGTTACTTCACTGGAAGTTACTTTCTCATCCTGTTTAGCAAGACTTGTTTAGCAGACTACCCTGAGCTCCAGCACTGACTGGCTCAGGATACAGGTACTCTGTCTTGTGAAAAARATAAAGAACAGCCATTAAGGCTTAAACTTTCTCGGACTTTGGATGCCAGCATCGCAGTCCCCCTGTCTCCACACGACAGTGACACACACGAGATTCCCACCACCAGTTGGTGCAACAYGGGTTTCTTTTGATGTGGCTTCAGAGCAGAAAAGTTATTTTTGGCTGTCCTAGAGACTGCTGCTGCCAGGCTGCTGCTGGACTGATCTGCACCYCATGACTGCACTCCCTGGCCAAGAACACCTGGACAGCTTCAACACAATCCTGCAGGCAAAACTGAGCCCTGCAAGGTCCCATCCAGAGCTGCAASTGGCCTGAGGAGCTCCCAACACATTCCAGAAGCAGCCTCTGAGACGTAGAAAAACACCTTCAACTGGTCTCTTGGACAAGGTCAACCAAAGCCAGGAACTTCTCTACAAGGAACCACAGACCAGGTCTCTTCAGAGAGAGAGCAGATAATACAGGGAAAATAAGAAGCCTGTAAACATCTTCCRTGCAGAAGCAGCAGTGATAAGGAATGCTTTGTTGTCTCAGCTTTTGCTAGAAAAAGGATGGATGCTGCCAAATCAGGAAGTAATACATTAAAAACCAACAGTGGTTCTTCACCTGCCATGGAAGAAAGCTAGGGAACCTTCTGCTGCAGAACCTCACAGAGGCTCATCATTTGCAGAGGTCCATAACCGGACAGTTCACAGAAGCATTACTCACCAGGAACTGCTGAAACAAACCTCAGGAGTGCCCAGGTTGCAAGTACCAGAGGCAGGAAGGTCGTTTAAGACAAGAACATACTCGTCCTTCATGCTYCACTGTACATCTGATGCTGGAATATTCCTCACACCACTCTCCCTGCTGYTCAACCCTCCTTGCTGTGGCAGGCTGTGAGAGGCTGGGGACAGCAGTTTTGAGTCCTTGCCCTGAGCTGTACTCCTCACCAGGTACCAGAGGTAAGCAGGCAGAGACAGCAGGACCTGCCAAGCCAGCCAGCCCCCAGGAACAGGCCCAGCCCAGGAAGAACTTCACCTCAGTTCTTCCCTTTCTACCCAGCCTTCCATGGGTCAGCACTGCAATTCATGTACTCCAACAGCTACTGACCCTCAAAGCCAGCCTCCCATGTCCTGCCCTGAGCAGAGGCACGAGTGACAGAAGGGACAGCAGCTCCTCACCTCAGCAGCAGTTCTGTGGTCAGATTGCAGATGGCTGTGGCAGATGAAGAACTGCCAGCAAGAAGGCCTTTAGCAGAACAAAGGCTAAGGCACACAAAGTTCTCTACAACAGTGCCCTCAGGCCCTATAACTTCATCCATGGACCAAAGTTAGAAGTTCTTTAGTTTTCACTGCTGGCCAGCTAAGGGTTGATGATGGAAACTCAGGAAAGCTGGCTTGGAAGTGCTGGTGAGCTGTAGCTGACAGGTGCTGCACGAGCTGCCAGGTCCCAGGAGCTGCCCTGAGCAGGGCCTGCAGCACCCCCTGCCCTACACACACAGAGCCAAGCCCAGAGSCTCGGGGCAGCAGGGCTGCCTGGCCCACACTGGCCTCCAGTCCCCTCTGCAGCTCTGAACAAAACCAGGGGAACCCTGCTGGGCCCCACAGCACAGACCAGGAGGGGTAAGCAAGCAGRGCAGCAACCCTGAGACCCCACGAGAGCCCTTCCAAATCTGCCTTGGGAACAATTTCACASCACAACACACATCCAGCACTTCTCCACCTGACAGAGCAAGATGTAGAGCCACTTAGAGCTCACTCACATCCCACCTGKGACAAGTGCAATACAGGGCACAGCAGGGCTTTCTAACACTGCTGAATCTGAACATATACAGAACATACAGTTGGTGCTTCTTTCTCTCTCTCAACATAAAAGTCATTTAAGCTARCAGATGGTGCTCTCCCAGCAAGACTTGAGAGCATAAGGACTGGACACCCAGGCCTGCCCCATCTTGTGCAAACAAAAGCTGTAAAAACAGGATGGTTTAAAAAACTGTAAACAACTCAAGGTCTTTTACTTAAAAAAAAATAATTCTGAGACCTCATACCAGTTAGTTTAGTGTAGGCTTCCATGTCCTCCATTGCTGTAGAAATCTGATACACTTTTCCTCCAGAGCCTCTTATTTCAAAAAATTTATCTGCTTTTTGAAGGGCTTCTGTAATCCTAGTTTGAGACAAAATTGCAACTTCAGGATAACATAGTTTTGAAACACCTCACTGCTCAATGGCCTCAACGGGCAAAAAAGAAACAAATTAGTCTGTTATAAACAGATGAAACTGTATGTCCAACTGATCACTGCAACATCTCGTCTCCATGCTKTCACTGCACATTTCAACAGATTTACTGAAGACAGGTTCAGATCAGAATGTAACCTTTAGAWGAATGAATAAGTTCACTTTGTTCTGCTTCAGACTGAGTTTAACACTGATGAGACAATTGCAGAACCCTGCAAAACAGTGACATGGTCCCTCAGCTGCAGCCAGGTGGCCTCACAGATAACCACACCCTTTTACATACTCCTTGCTTCCCAAGTTAGCTGAGAGGGTCCAAAGTTTTGTAAAGGGAAAGCATCAAAACACGTAGTATTTTCAGGTGGGAAAAGAATATGTTCTAGAAATTAAGTTCTTCCATGTACCCTTCTGTCATTTCCAGCTTAGACACCCTTTGGAAATGCTGTCATAATTATGGGAAGCCAATAATGAATTTCTAAACTAAAAATACGTTTTACTCTTGATASCTAGGTACTGCCAAACCTGAGCATATTTAGTCTGAGTTTTAGAGGATCCCTAAATCAGGAGCTGAAGTTTATGAAATGAAAGTAGTCCAAATCACTCCTGTACTGTGTAATCCTTAACATTCCTTTTTTCCAAACTCAACCAGCAGASAAGACACTAAGGATAAAATACTTGGGAATACAAGTATTTCTGCTTTTCAAGAAAAGTAAAAAGAATAATGCTATAGGGAAAAATCTGTAGACATCAACAAGAGAGGTAAAACAGCAGGTAGCCAGCTGAGCTGGTCCTGAACAAATATTGCATCACATAAACACAAAGCCAGACTTCAGCTGAGCTACATAAGGCCATTCATATCTTCACTCTGTAGTAACCTTACTCTAGTAACCAGCCAATTTGAACTAGTGGTCGCTAATGTGCAGATAAGGATTTGACTTCAGCTGTCAGCAGTTTAAATGGCTTAAGTACACCCTGGTCCTGTGCTTCTTCAGGTGTTTAGTAATTTTTTCCTCTAATTTATTCCACATGGAAAGATGTTTTTGTCCTCCTTTCTTTGTTTTTGTTTGCTTYGTTAACCACAGCATCCATGAGACTGTAAATACTAAGTCTTTCCAAAAGAATCAGCCATGGCTATTATTCTATGTCACATCTTATTGATCATCTGAATATTCCAAATGGATATGGATTGTTTCAAGAATTTAAAAATTAATTGAAAAGGAAGGAAAGGAAAATGTACTTGCATTATTTCAATGATGTTGCCAGTCTTATGCTGGTATGCTCTCCGGTGCAGGCAATACCGAGTGTGGAACATCTCGTACACATTTTCAACTTCCTGAATCAAAAAAACCCTATCAGCTTTTACTTTTGCCCCAGTCTTACTTGGAAAACCAATCAATCAATCAAATTAGTTGTCTCCTCCCGTTCACACATGAAACAGAATGATTATTATTCAAATTACCAAAATTTGAAACTCTCAGGGCACTGTGGGACAGCAGAGCACCRAGGGTGATCCCACACAACCTGGCACAGAAGAGGACCCCACACCCTTTTGGCAGCCCCTCACCGAAACCACATTCCCCTCCTGCCCAGAAGACCTGGAGCAGGATTTGTGAGATGGTCTGCACAGTCTCCCCTGACAGCACCTGCCACAAATCCTTTCAAATAGTGCCTTGCACTGTCCCTCCCTTCCCCAAGCAGCAGCAGCTTCTGAGAAAAGCTTTTAGAGCAGCAACTACTTCTCTCTCTCTTGGGCTAAGGGAGAGTGGGGCAGGACCCCTATTCCCACAGGGTACAGCTCCCCTTTGTGCCCCCAGGTGCACTGAGGCYCCCTGGCCTCCACATACTGCTCACCTTGTCACGGGTACAGATGTGCTTCTGGTTTTTCACTTCACAGACCCGAGTGAAGATAAGCAATCGCTTATAGTCAAAATTATTTGGAATTCCCAGGTGATGGCAATCCCTAAAAATATCCCACAGAGCATTTAACAACATGATCACATTTGTACATACAGTAGCATTTTGTCAGTAGGATTTCATAATAAAATGTAAGATTTGTACCTTGCAAAATAATCCCACTTGTCAACATCAATGCCATTTTTTTTGTTAGCTACTATCTCATAGAGGAAACTYTTCTCCTTTGGTCGACCACGGTAGGGCCACTGACAGGGGAGCCGGGAAGAAAAACATCAGAAACAATAAAAAATTAAAGTGTGCCAACTATGTCAWAACAGCTTTTTAAAAACAGTGGGAATACACTTTGACTTAGCCTGTGATAAACATCCAACACTAGGTAGCAAAGAACACAAAGASAAGGAAAGAGCTTCCAGAAGCTGTCAGGCGTTAGAAATCCAGAACAGGGCCTAAGCAGTTGTCTTCTCAGAATCTCAGGAAGAATAAAACCCATGAACACAAGTATTCATTGCCCATTATTCTATTAAAAGAAAGTCTTTGAAATGCCAAAAAAAAGAGCGGAGCAACAAAGAGGGGAAATTTTTTGAATTATTTAATTCTCAGAGAATTGAGAAAACGCACAAACATAAACATGTCACTGTCTTGCAGTCTTCTGCAATCTACAACTTTATAAAACAGAGTTTTAAAACACTTACCTAGATGTTTGAAGCAAAAACTGTTTGAAGTCACTTACTTAAACTCCTACCTCACAAGCGACAATTCAGCCATGAGGTAAAGAGGAAATGAACACCAAAATAGTAAGATACAAGTTGCACATTTTCTTGAAAATTTAAAGATTCTTCAGCTTAAAAAATGCCATAAAGGGCCTTGAACTTCTGAAAGTGGAAAACACTGTATGCAAAAATGGCTACCATGTTACTTGCACTACAGAAATACTAAAACTGATGTGAATAGCAATGGAAACAYGTGGAAGCAGCAGGAAGAAAGCATATCATGGATAAAAATACCATTATCACAAGAGTTCTGCTATTGGGACATGTTCAGGACGCTGTTTGTGTCTGGTGTGTGTCACGACAGAGGCCTGAACCACAGCGCAGAGCCTGCCAATGCAATCTGCTGCCYAAWACCAGGAGGGTGCTGCCATGTTTAYGTGTGTCACTCCTCCTCCTGGTATGCTGCTGGAAAACAGGCACAGAACCCAAACAAGGCAGACATGGGGAAAGAACCTGGCACAAGATCAATGGTAGTGGTAGTCACCAAGATTTGTGTGCAAGCACCAAGATTTGWGTGCAAACAAGCCCAGTGGGATAAAAATTAACTTGTGAATACTGAAAATKAATTTCCTCTTCCTGTAAGATCTCAGACTGAATTTCACTATGCCAAGTTCCCTATGTTTGCCATGTGACTGCTGGAGAAAACATGTCAGAACTATCCACTCCTGCAGCAGAAAATAAYGGGTAAGTGTGAACATTTGTGGGTTACTTGTTTGGGACAACATGCAAAGTCTGATTAGGACCAGATTGTCCTGATAGATCTCCCACCGACTTCAGCTGCTACCAGTTCTTAATTCTGGTGACAATTAAAAGCGTCTCCTTGAAGAGATGACAAGGGCTATAAAGTGAGGAGTAAGGACTTAAGTCTTTCACAGAGTTGCASTGATTAACAACCACCATCTCTTCTTGCTTGCCTCTTGGGGCARCTCATTTCTTCAAGTCTTATCCCTGCCTCTATGTTTGCTACTGCAATAAATCTAAGCATTTTGCTGCTGTCATCAAAGCTGATGTGGCTCGGGCACTCGGGCCAGGCTTGGACTGCTCACTGCCTCATCTCTGCCAGGGCTCAGTTTTGTTATCCAGATGGAGGGAGGCCTCCTTTTCTCCAGGCCAAGCTCCYTCAGCTGCTCCTCATCACACCTGTGCTCCAGACCCTCCCCCAGCTCCACTGCCTTTCTCCATTGCACCTCAGTGTCTTTCTTCAAGTGAGGGSCCCAAAACTGAACCCAGAACTTGAGTTGTGGCTCACCAGTGCCCAGCACAGGGGGACAGTCACTGTTCTGGTCCTGCTACCAACCATGGCTGGTACAGGCCAYGTGCCATTCACCTCTTGCCCACCTGGGCAYACCTGGCTCATTTTCAGCCACTGTCAACCATCTAGCACCCCCAGGTCCTTTTAGCCCTGGCCACTTTACAGCTGCCCTGCCCYCAGCCTGTAGCATTCCATGGGATTGTTGTGATCCAAGTGAAGGACYAACACTCAGCATTGTGGAATCTCACACAATTGGCCTGGGCAGATTTATCCAACCTGTTTAGATCCCTCTGTAGAGCCTTCCTGCCCTTCAGTTGAGCACGACCCACATTTCCTAAACTCTGGCTGGCTGGGCCTGATTCCCTGGTTGTCCTGTACATGATGCATGATGGCTCTCATGATGATCTGTTCTACAACCTTCCCTGGAACCAAGGTCAGGCTCACAGCCCTGTAGCTTCCCAGAACATCCTTTAGATCCTTCTCGTACATGGGGTCACATTTGCTGACTTCCAGTCAACTGGGACCACCCAGGATTGMTGGTAAATGATGGAAAGTAYCTTGGTGAACACTACTTCCAACTCCTTGAGTGCCTTTGAGTGGATCCCAGTCATGAGTTAGGTTCACTAAACACARGTAACATTCTACAGCTTTCCTCTGATCTGAAGGCTTTTGGGTGAGAATTCTCAGGGAGATGCAAACACATTAACACACCTGCCAGTTGTAAGAAATAAACACTACACTACATTCCTCCAGCATCAATTGAGAGAAGATACTCAGAATTTCTTGGGGCTAGAAGTAACATAGCAGAAGCCGAAATTATCTGTTCTTTCATTGAAATAAAGACATTTCTTGAGATAACCACAGGTGCAGTACACCGACTCACCGATTTTTCACAGGCATTTTCATCTACAGGCCCTCCTATTTGTTCCTTGATGAAGAGCATATCTTCTTCAAGGACAAGACCATATGACTCCATGACTTTTTCCAGTTTATTGGAAGTGATCAAATGCTCAAACATTTGAACAGAAGCAGTTTCATGCTGTGAAAAAAAACCCATCCAAATATTGTATTATATATTTTAAACATCTTTCCTGCAATGTCACAGCTTTGCTCTAGTCAGCAGCACTGCCTGGCAGGGCACATGGGCAGGCTGCTCTGAAGCGAAGCATCGGAGTGCTTTCCTAATCATTTTGCATCAAACAGARCAGGAAATCACCCAGTCTTGAGCCCAGAAACACACTCTTCAGCAGTAAGCTGCTAATTCTGTGCATTGACAAACAGCAGCAAGGCAGTTACAATGCTAAAAGATAAAATAATCAATTTTACCATGCAGAAGATTGTCTACTCAGATGATTCTGCTTAGAAATTACAAGCAGAGAGAGGCCTAAAAGGACTGTGCTGCATTTCATTCTTAGCAAACAACTGCTGAAACTCTGTTCAAAATTTTGGAAAGTTTGAATTCTAAACACTGCATCAAATATCCTGGCCTTCGAYTAAAACATTATACTGGAATGCAAACTGCCAGTTGGTACTTTGTATCTGTAAAGTATTTTCTGCAGAAAGCTCTCAATATGCGTTTTAAGGCACAATGCTGGCCAAAAATGATCAGTGCAGCCCTAACAAGGAAATCATCACAAGATTAGGAGACAACATTCTGGTTCTCAATTAGGTCATCAAAATAATGCAATAAGGTAAGGCCACATGACCACTATGGTCTCACAGGCACTGGCACTCTTTAAAGATTAATTATCCTGCCTCTAAAAATTTCAAGTTTGTATTTTTAATAGCRAAAAGCCTACCTTCCACTTCAAATCTGGACGAGTGAGTGGAATAAATCTTCCATCAAACATGTGTGAAAATGGCCCATGACCTTAAAAATAAAGAGACATAGTTGTCAGCAAAAATTTTTTCTTGAGTAAGCTTATATCTGAATTCTCCTGGATTYGACTTGCTCTTAACATATCATAGAATCTTAGACTGGTTTGGGTTGGAAGARACCTTCAAGATCATCTCRTTCTACCCCCTGCTATAGGCAGGGACACCTTCCACTATCCCAGGYTGCTCCAAGCCCTGTGCAGCCTGGCCTTYGGCACTTCCAGGGAAGGGCAGCCACAGMTTCTCTGGGCAGCCTGTGCCAGGGCCTCAGCACCCTCACAGGSAGCAATTCCTTCCCAATATCCMATCTAACCCTGCCCTCTGCCAGGGTGAAGCCCTTCTTCCTTGTCCTGTCACTCCAAGCCTTGTCCAAAGTCCCCCTCAGCTCTCTTGGAGCCCCTTTAAGGTTGTCTAGGGTCTCTCTGGAACCTTCTCTCCTCCTGAACACTCCCAKCTCTCCCAGCCTGGCTCCAGAGCCAAGAGCAGAGGGGCTCCAGCCCTTGGTGCATCTCCATGGCCTTGCTCCAATGGCACCAGATCCTTATGTTGGGCCCAGGGCAGGGGCAGCTTTGCAGGTGGGGTCTCACCTGAGCACAGCAGAGGGGCAGAATCCCCTCCTCACCTCACGTTAGAGGATCAGCCCAGCACATGGGGGATTTCTGGGCTGATTCTGGTCCTGTCCAGCCTCTTACCCACCAAAGCCCCTACGTTCTTCTCCTGAGGGCTGCTCTCAATCCACTCCCTGGCCCTCCAGCCTGTCCAGGTCCCTCTGGGATCCCCATCCCTTCCCTCCAGCATGTGACCCCACCACACAGCCCAGCATTGCACCCTTGCACAGTTTGTCAGCATCGATCCCACTGTCCCCATCACTGACAGGGACATCCAACAGCACTGGTCCCCACACAGGTCACTCATCACTGTGCTCCATCTGGACATCAAGCCTGTAACCACAACTCTCTGGACATCAAGCCTGTAACCACAACTCTCTGAGTGCAACCATCCAGGTAATTCCTTATTCATCATCTAAGAAGAAGACTCAGGTATAACAAGTACATGTTCCTAAGATACTGTAAGTACTAATGTACTTAACAGCCGCTTCCAGCACCTACACTATGGGCAAGYACTGCAGCAACACTGAGAAAATTAATTACTCTGTGTCAGCTCTGAAGAAGGGAAGTAGTTATGAAATAATCATTACAGTTTTTGAAAGGAAYGTTAATTTCCATTCTGAAATGTTTKACGAGACCTGGGGSAATCACAGAAGGAAGTGGATACTTCAATCAYTGAGGGCAGAGCTCTAGGCACCATTTGGAAACAAGACAAAGTACTACCTAAGGGTGGCTACAGATTCACCAAGTGGAACTGTCTCCACAGATGTACTCCAGACCAAAMAGAACAGACAAAACCTGTCTTGGAATATGGCCATGCACTGAGCAGCCCGAAACAGCTCACATGTTCTGATCTCACAGCCAGCTTTACATCCCAGTTAGCTTTCCAAGAGCAAYAACCCATGTCATGTGCTCCTTACCCAAATCGTGACAAAGCCCAGCAATTTCTACACAGAGGATGTCTCGCGGGGTTATATCCAGTTCYGGTTGTCTCTCCTTCAGTGTACGAACCAGACATCCTGCAAGGTAACCAACCCTGTTGCAGGAGGAAAAGAAAGGAATATAGCAGTGGTTTAGGATGAACAGAAAARGAAAGTTTCCCTGTTCTGTTTTGCTCCATTAACTCACAGCCCTTATCTGAGAGGCAGCATTCAACAAATACCCAAATCCTGACCTGCGAGAGAATCACAGAAACAGTTTCCTGTCATAGAGTTTTAGTCCTTTGAAAGCAAAAAAGCATGGGATACCATGCCCAAAACACAGAGACTCTACAGCAACCAGCACATTTCATAACACATAACCCCACAATAGCCGTGTAAAGGAACAGCAGTGCACCACTGACAGTGAGAAGCACCTCAGCAAACACAGAATTCTTGAATTCCAGTCAGGGCACACTGCAAAGGTCCACAACGRTCACCAAAGCATTTGGTCGTAATTTCCAACTGCTGCTTTAATAATAGCTTATGACAATTATTTCTCTTCTTCTCATTCATTTTAGATTTGAAATTTAATTGAATGGGACCTTCTKTCCCCATGACACAAAACCGGCAGGAGCAAATATATGGCACATACTTCCATAAACTGTTTATAAGCTCTACACAAACCTYTCTCTACTTGCTTCAAAGCTTCCCTAGCAGAACAGTTTAAAGCAAGACAAGGCTTTCTATGACGAGGACATTAGTCCAAATTTCACTGTTTGGTGGTTTTTTACTAAACCAATAAGCACACAAAGCTCACCTMTTCTATTTGTAACATTGTAGGAATCTTTGAAATTACATGAAAGTGGAGAACAACTGTCCTAAATTTAATGCTATGGATCAATGTTCCATTGTTCAAAAGAGAAGCTGCTGATACAACTGGAGTTTTCAGACTTCTGTTGTGAAAACTTTGTTTATATTCAACCACATTTCTGTCTTTTTGGTTTACCAGGTGCAGTCAATCCAGGCTGCCTCATTCATCTGACCCTTTTGCCAACAGCCACTTGAAYCTTGTCATAGGTAAGCCAGATTTACTCCCAATATTTCAGCACCAACAAAAGCAACTTTAGGCTGGCCAGATCACCTGAATGAAAACCACTTACTACCTTAATTTCACTGCACCTTGGGATATACCCTTAAAAGAAGATCAAATTTGTCAATCATCAATTTCCCTGTGGAGTGTGAATGACCTGGCAATACTCTACAAATTCTTCTGTCCATCGTATTTCTGCTTAACTGAATTACAGCCATCAGCCTGACAACCTGCCACTRATTGCATGAAGCACATCTATCTGCAAAGACAAACATTACAAATCAAATGGATTTTAGCTGTGCTGGACAATGTGTGGGGATTACAAATGTTTGGCWGAGAAGGCAGAGTAGCCAGTACCCTTACTAAGTTTATGCTTTAAAGCTTATATTTTGACTRGGGAAACATAAAGTGTTTACAGTTTTTAGCTAACATTATTCTTAAAATAATAAAAGGTGGGGAAGGAAATCTAACATTGATCTGTCTTGTAGGTTTCTTTATCCGTCTTTATCAAAAGAAGTTCAAGGGAACAATCCACAATCASATGGGATATCTGGGAACATCTGACACCAGAAACACCCCCACAGCAGTTTTCACCAATGCTCAGACAGCAATGCCCCTTGGCTGGCATTCCACAGCAGTGGAACCAAACACAGGGACACCAAGATGCAAGAGATAYGTGTGACAGAACCACCACCTTACCCCAGGGAGTGTTCAAAGCGGTTGTGAGAGGCTCCTGGAAAAACAAAGTATGTGCCACCCAGCTGCTTGATGTACCGGAGCCGCTGGAACTGAGGCGTGTCGATGATCCGAACAAGCAGGGGATGCATTTCAATGTGGCCATGAACAGGATCGTTAAAAACCTACAGAAGCAAAAAAAAAAAAAAAAAATGTAATTAACACTCAGAATTTTACTTTGAAAAGAAACATGCACCAAGGTAAAGGATAGCTAGAATGGTCAGGTATTTGGTGTGAGAGACTGTTTATCTTCTGTAAAACAGACATATCTTGCCAACCYTATATCAAGACCTATCATGGAAYAGGATGGTTGGGGTTGGAAGGGRCCTTAAAGATCACCTTGYTCCAACACACTGCCATGGGYAGGGACACCTTCCACTAGACCAGATCTCTGCAAGCCYGSTCCAATCTGGCCKTGAACACTTCCAGGCATGCTGCACCCTCAACCTCTCTGCTCAACTTAATTTTTCTTGGAGAACTACTTAAGCTCGACACCAAAAAAGATTCAACTGCCTATTTCACACAGCAAGGGAAGTAAAGTCAAAATCCCRTAAAATGTTACCTCCAGCTGTGCAATTCCAAAACTTAATACTTGTGAAAACCACTGTCTTTATTAATTTGCTATTCCAATTAAAGYAGGATAGTGCAATGCATGTCAGAGATATCAAATAAAAAGGGTTAGGCCTGACATTGTTCATGCTTTTAAAAACAAATGCAATTTTGMTGAGTGGAAATTGTGATTGCTGCTTTTTTCATAAAACAAAATGCAAACCTCCAAGGTAACTAAAATATGAAAGAAGTGCTCCCTGGCAAGCACACATTTTCACAGACATCTCAGTAACTACAGGGACTCAGTAGAGAAGGTCAACACATTTAATCCTTGCCATCAAACTGCAAATAAAACCATTCAATCACACATGTATCTTGGTAGAACACTGAGGCAAATAATGTGCTCCTGTGCTCTCTACCCTTAATCACTGAGCTGGGAGGGCTCTAGCASATGTGTAGASTGGTATGGAATGGATGCAGCCCTGSACCCAGTTAAACCAACACACACCACTGGGAGAAACAGCTGGACACAGCAAACAGTGAAARTGAGGAGGAATCTGTTAACCCAGGCCTGGGGCAAAACTAATAAAACAAGGGGAGGCTCTACACAGAGGGATGTGAAAGGGGAGCTTCTCAACATATGTCAGACAGCTYTTCTGCACATTCAATCCTTCACAAYCTCCGGGTGTCCACRGAAAGCTTCCACATAATGATTTTGGCAATTCTTCTGGTTACTGTGGTTTTTCACAGACCAGCACTAYCAAGGGACCAGAGTTTGCTGCTGCGCAAAGGCAAGATATCAGCTGGCAGTAGCCAGACAGGAGGAGGGGAGGCAGAGATGGGAAGCAGAGYCCTGTGCAGGGCCTGTGGCAGGAGCTGGCCACAGTGTCCCAACAGCCTGGGTTACCTTCATCACCTCCACGGGCTGCTGTTGCAGCTGCATCAGGCACGCCAGCACTTCCAGTCGCTCAGCTGGGCAGCTAGGAAGGAAAAAGACTCTGAGAGCAAAGTYTGCAATGCATTTCCTTTTACAATTTGCATATGGAGTTACTTGAGCGAGTTCACATTACTCTGATACTCATTGATGAAAGAAGATTACATTTTCAGAAGAACAGAAAAGAAGAACATTTTCAGAAGAATACTGAAAGAATTAATCCTTTAAAAATCAAGTATAGAAGGAAGAGAACAAATAGCTAGAGAAACTGTCTGTAGAGGACTGTAAGTGCTTCTCCCACTTACACAGAACTGAGAAATCAGACCACCACAAAATCGATGAAAAAAAGTGTGTAAGTCGCATCTGGAGATAAGTCCTTTAAACTTATGGGAAAGACAGCATACAGTGTCTGAGTAATTGACACATTTTAAGGATGAAAAGCTTCTTTAAACTAAAATGTCAAAGTCACAATGAACAATTTTTATAAAACTTTCTTCAGGTAGTCAACTCTGTATAAAAGTTTAATTTTGTCAAATTAACTTGAATTTTACATAAATTAATTTCAACTCCAATAGCAAAACCACTGCAGTTTAAAACAGGTTCTAATTTTATTGACACTGATTCTTCTATTTTGCAAAGATAGTTTGTTGTCATTTTTAATAAATTATTAAAGGTACCCTTCACAACACACAGATAATCTTCCAGTGCAGGTACTCAACTGTAGCCACTGCAGTCTAAGAGCACAGACAGCACATATCTGGAGAGAGAGATAATAAGTTCTATCACACCTGCTTTTATTAACTGTAKGCAAGCCTTGCCTTTGAGCCAAGTGATTTCAGTCTCATTGTGACAGCAAACACTATCATGAGAAAATACTTTTTCTGCAGTTAACCACCCTGAGATCAGTTTGACATTAGTCTTTCAACATAAACTTTAACAGAAAACAGGACTATAAAATGTCAACTATTAGCAAAAAGTACTGCTTGTTGCACTACATATTCMCTGAATAATTTAATAATTCACAATCCACACAATTTTAAAGGCATGTGATGTTTGAGCTGTTGGTGAGCAGTGTTTGTTCTCAACCACTTGGCATCCCTTTCCCAAACAGGGAGCTCTTGGGCCTCAGCTACTGCTCAGACTGTCACAAGGCGGGGCTGTAGCACTTCTGCTATGGAGACAGACTGAGAAAGCTGGGGCTGCTCAGCCCAGAGAAGGGAAGTCTACRAGGAGACTTCACTGAAGACTTCCAGTACCTTAAGGGGACCTCTAAAAAGGAGGGAGAGGGACTTTTTATAAGGGCASATAAGGGGYAATGGTTTTAAACTGGCAGAGGCCAGGGTTGCATTCAGTATTAGGAAAAAATTCTTCCYTGTGAGGTGGTGAGGCCCTGGCATAGGCTGCCCAGAGAAGCTGTGCCTGCCCCATGCCACAGGGGCAAATGTCCACTTCCAGGGAGAAGTGTCCAAGGACAGGTTGGATGGGGCTTGGAGCAACCTGGGATAATGGATGGGGGGATGGAATGAGATGATCTTWCASGTCCCTTCCAACCCAAYCCAAACTATTCAATGATTCTATGATGAAAAGCAGTCTTGGTGATGCTCAGAACAGCGTGTGTTCCAGGACACAACTCTGAGGATAAATCAACATTGTGACCAGCAACTATTATACAAATGTAACACATGCCTCTAACAACTTTGTTTTCACACAGAATCACAGAATTAACTAGCCTGGAAAAGACCTTTGAGACTTGATGGTCAACTCAACCTATGACCTAACACCACCTTATCATGTAAGCTATAGCACTAAGTGCCACATCAAGTCTTCTTGTAAACACCTCCAGGGTGACTCCACCACCTCCCTGGGCAGCCCACTCCAATGGCCAATCACTCTTTCTGTTAAGATTTTTTTCCTAATGTCCAGTCTAAACTTCCCCAGTTGCAGCTCAAGACTATGTCCTCTTGTCCTGTCACTGGTTGCCTGGAGAAGAGACCAACCCYGACCRGGCTGCASCCTCCTGTCAGATGGTTGTAGAGTGATGAGGTCTCCCCTGAGGCTCCTCYTCTCCAGGAAAAACAACCACAGCTCTCCCAGCTGCCCCTCCCAGAACTTGTGTTCCACACCTTTCACCAGCCTTGTTGCCCTYCTCTGGACACACTCCAGCCCCTCAATATCMTTCCTAAATTGGAGAGCCCAGAACTGGACACAACACCCAAAGTGTGACCTCACCAGTGCCAAGTACAGGGAAAGAATCACTTCCCCAGTCCTGCTGGCCACACTTCATATTTTAATAYGGTCTGTTCAGGTCTGTCATTATTGCAACCCTTTGTGGCCCACACTAGGCACCAATAAGGACTGCTGTGTATTAACACCAGCCAGGAACTCAGTCCCACGCAGCCACTTGCTGCTCTGGTGGGATGGGGACGAGAATCAGGAAAAGGTAAAACCTTGCATTGCTGTCAGTGTGATTCTGCTGTGACCAATCATCTGGATGTCACACCACAGAATGCTCTTCATCCTCCTTCAGATAGAAAACAACAGCAGGACATTTTTCACCTGCAGTCTACATGGTCAGACCCCCTTAACCAAGACAAATCCTGTTAACACAGGYAACTGTGGTCTTCCAGGGCTCTGCAGGCAGATTTCCTCCAGCAGCCAAAGCAGCACTACTGCTGACTGCTTGGAAATGGTGAGAACTGGCCCTTCCTCATCCACTCCCCTCCCGGCTCTGTCCATACCCTCCCACATGCCACAAGAGACAAGGATAAGAAAAATCCCTTTCCTGTGCCCAAAGAGATCAGCCAGACAGCCCCAATCATCCTCTGAATTCAGTATGCAGCACACTGTATGCCACACAAAACATCCACTGCCAGCAGCATGAGCACAGCTGGGAAACACAGCGTTGCTTCCAAGCCCCATTGACCCAAGCTCTCCCTGCTGAACACCCAGGCAGCCAGGGAACTMAAGACATGCATTCATTACTGGCCTGTCACAGAGAAATTATCAAAGTTACTGCAGGGCACAGCATGCAGTGCACAGCAAAAGATTTGTTCTTAGTGAAAATTTGAGATGTTTACAAAAAGGAGAACGCTTGAGCAATTTCTCATCCAACTCTCAACAGTTTCAGCTTAATAGAAACAATATATCAGATCTCACAGAAGAAAACTCTGTACAAAAGAAAACCCTGCCATTCCGTAAACCCAGCATCACCTGCTCTCAGCCCAGTGCCCCCATCACTTGTACCCCACACTGAGGGACTCCTGGCTACCCCATCATGCTGCCCACATTCAGCACTGACAGACAGCCYCTGACTCCCCAGACCAGCTACACATGTCCATTGTGTCCTGGACAACTGTTCTTTCCCTGCTGGAAGCAACCAGCGTTCRGGCAAGTCCTAAATAAAACTAGACAACAATTTGTCATTTCAGTCAGGAAATTACCTGGTACTTTAGAATAAGCAAAGCCTTCAGCTGCCTTCCACAACATCACAGCATTTCTATGTGTACACTTCAAACAGCTGCAGTTAAACGCCTTTTCCACAGAGAGAGAAACCAAAAATACATTATTGACTCCTGCACATCTTACCTCTTCCAAAGCACAGCACTTCTGCCTTGTCCCGCTGAGTCACACCAGCTTTTCAYTCTCTTCCAACATCCACGCCCAGACATCTGCCCTTTCCCACTCCCCCTCACATGCTGATGCCTCAATAAAACAGGGAAAGGGCCCTTCACCCCCAGCACAGCATGAGCTATGGCAAGTTTTCAGCCAAGGAGCCAACCTGCACACCAAAGTGCTCTAACCCGCAGCAGAAAGCACAGCTCTGAACTTCATTGCAGCTGCCAGATTACACACCCAAACCTGCCTCAGGGCCAYCAACCACAATATCAGCAAACAGCTGGAGCCAACAGACAGGTTTTGAGACAAATTTGGAGGAAACAGTATAAACAAGGTTAACAAAGGAGTAAAGAAAAGACATTCACAGATTAAAAACCACCAGGAAGTATGCGGTGAGCAAGCAGGCTCACATCCCAGTAGAGGAGAGAAAGAGAGGATCCCCAGCAGGACAGAGAAGGGGCAAAGGGGCCCTTCCAACACACAGAATAGCAGGACACAATCATACTCTCTGCTGTTCCAGAAGAGAAAGAAAGCATTGCACCACCAGAAAGACTGCAATGGTTGTGAGACTAGTTATTCCCTCACTGCTGGGAACAATCCTTTACAGACTTTAAAACAGCATCCAGTGTCCCTGTGTTCACGGCAGATGACTGCTACCAGCTGGACTGTCTGCTCCAGACAGCCCAGGGCAGTGGGGGCTCATAGTGGCAAGGACTCGGCCACAGGCCCCTGTTCTGTTAGGACATGCAACGTTTCTTTTTCCACAGCAGCCCACGCTGCTGTAGGCATAACAGCAAGAGAGCCAAGCTCCAGCAGGTGCTGCAAGGTTGACCTATGGATGCTCGGGATTTCTCTCAGGGAGACAGATGACACCCYGCATCCGCAGAGCAGCATCTCCTTCTCCATCAAACATCGTTGCAGCTGTCGCTCCYGGAGTTGGAGCAGCAGCAACTTCAGGCAGAAAGTTCTCATCAGAATCCCTGGAGTTCACTTTGGTGCTCCCAGCAACTCTCAAAAGCTCACTGTTCTATCCAGGGGACTTTCGTTAACCTTTTCTAACGGATCGAGTTTTTTGCTTCTCATGCTTACTGGGCAGTGARCAACCGCGCCGCGCCTGTGCTGGGATCAGCAGGGAACGGGAACTGCACSGAGGGTCCGGGATCAGCCCCACCGAGCCCGTTCCCTCGCGTTCGGCCCCGCGCAACTGCSCTGGAGGCGCTTGGTCGGCCCCGGGGCCATGTGCATGTGCAGCCGCTCCCTGTGAGCACGGCCCGCCCGCCGCAGCTCCTGGGCCTCGGTTTCCGGCAGGCCCTCTCCCCTTTCCCCGCGGGCGGCGCTCACCAGACGCGGGTGACCTCGGGGGCGCAGGCCGGCAGGTCCAGCAGCATCCTCGCGGTGACCCCGCTCTCTGCGGGAGCAAGAGAAGCGTCAGCGCCAGCGGCGGGGCCGCACGGCCTCGGCCTCGGCCCCGGCTGCGACTCAGGCTCGGCCCCGGCCCCCGCCAGGTTCCGCTGTACCTCGAAAGCGGCGCAGCAGGCTGGGTTCGCCCACGCCGCAGCGGGAGAGGTGCTGGCAGAGCCACTCCGTGTCCCACAGCCGAGGGTCGCTGCGGTCGCTGCCGGGCCCGGCGGGGCCGCGGGTCCCATCGCACCGCGCGCGCTTGGCGGGAGCGCCCGCCGGGCTCCCCATCCCGCACCGCCACAGCGCGAGCGCCGCCGGCACGCGCCGTGACGTCACCGCCCTGCGCGGCCCCTCACGCGCTCCTCGGCATCGCCCTCGGCCACGGGAGCGGCCCCGGGAGGAGCCTCCGCTCGCCCCCAGAGCCTCCGCTCGCCCCAGAGCAGCCTCCGCTCGCCCCCAGAGCCTCCGCTCGCCCCCGGGGCCTCCGCTCGCCCCAGAGCAGCCTCCGCTCGCCCCCAGAGCCTCCGCTCGCCCCC